GTTAGGTTATATTATACTCCCTTCTCTAAGGTTAGTTAATCTAGCTACCTCTATTAATCCTATTATTATAAGGGCTCTTACACGGCCCTTATACTCGCGCACGTATAGGCCTTCCTTAAGCCCTTTAACGAGGTTACGTTAAAGGCTAAAGGTTATAGCACTACGCTAGACGCTGTCTAAGAGAGTATAGAGTTTATTAGCGACTATATTACTAACGCTCGTAGTAATAGCGTATCTAAGCTAAAGGAGCCTATTAAGCTTGCCGAGCGTCTCTTTCTTAAGTACTATAAACTACTAGACGTGTCCGGAGCCTATATAGCTATAATACTACTCTATCTAGAGCGCCGAGTAGCATAGCTAAAGATATAGTAGTATAGCGATAAGGCTAGTTAGTACATAGGCGCATTAAAGCGTATAAGGTCGCTCTAGTAATCCTATAAGGACAAACTCTAGCCTTATACGTAGAGCGACAATATACTAGAGCCGCTATCCGTATTCGACCGCTTTCGAGCTAAGGCTAGTATTCTAAAGACATACGATAATTTCGATAGTTTCGTAAACGCTCCGCCTATAGTACTACTAACTAATATAACAGCTATTAAGTAGTAGATGTAGCCGTTTATAAGACAGGCCTATCTAGCTCTTTTATAGCTAGCTATTAACATCCTCTTAGCTTTCGTAATATCCGCTAAGAGCGAGCGTACGTTTAGCAAAATACGAAGAACTATCGATTAGTTACGCTCTTAGCTACTTAGCGACACTATCCGGTTAATTAAGCTCTCGAAGGATTAGCACCGCTATAGCTTTACTATACCTACTATAGGGGGGGTAGCGGCGATAATAGAGGTAGCGGAGACTATAGGGGGTACGGAGGATAATAATATTAACGATAGCAGCGATAGCCTCTTTATATAACTAGTTACTTACTTAATTACCTAACTAACTACTCGAGTAGTTAAATACTTAATAATTAACTAACTACTAGCCTTAGAAGTCAATTAAGTTAAAAGTCAAACTCTATAATAGCGTCTCCTAGGGGAAAAGCGCTAGTAACTAGAATACAGCACACTCAAATCATCGAGCGATAGAAGGTTGGAGGTTACAGTCGAGCACGACAAGGCGGAGCCACACGTGCCGAGCAAGGACTTGTGCGATCATCAAGCATGACGTCTTATCTATTTTCCTTGGCAAATCCTTCCAAGACCCACAATTTGGACGGATTGGGAAGCCAAGTCGGATGAAGGAATCCAATCAATCATCTTCCGATGTTGGTCCGGCGGTGCACTTTTTACATTAAATATGTACATGCACGCACGTCTGCCACTCACGATCTTACTCGGAGGTGTTGTATATGAGATTGTCACACCTTGAAATTCTTCTTCCCACACGATACGACCCTCGAAAAGGTACTCTTGAGAATCGATACAATCGTGCTATCGGGACATTTCCCTCGCTAAGCAAGGCGATGCATCAGGAACCAATTACATGGAGATTCCAACTTGAAGTGCATTTCTAACTGAAGTGGATCAAATCCATGTATCAGTTCTAATAAGCCGTCGATGATTCACATGGAAGGATTCAATGTCTACCTTTAAGGCCGCAGATGTGACAGGAGTATCGAGCGACTGAGGGCTGACTCTCTCAATCCATGCTCGTGCGCTGAGAAGTAGTAACATTCCGGGGTGATGAATAATCTTGTACACASTGGAGAGAGCAAGAAATCTGAGGCGGCGTACAAAATTTCTTCGTAATCAGGGCTGCAAGAATGGGAAAGAGTTCAATGTCCGGCCCCTAAACCGCCCGGTATCACCATCATCCTCGACTCTAATACCTCCCTCCACGTAGCTATAAGGGCGACCTCTTTCGCGAATAGCTTACTCATAATATCTCTCACCAAGCGTTAGCATATAGGATACCTGTAGACTCCGACTGGGAAAGTCGTAATAGCACGAAACTAAAGCCTCCACAACGTAAAGAATAACTCTCTCCATTTAGCTAACCAATCTTCATTACAATTCGATACGATGTCTCAACGCAAGATATGACGATCTCGCGAGCTCCCACCCGGGAAATGGTCCTCCTCTTCGCTACCGACAATTGTAACATTATCGAGTCGGATCTGTTATTCTATGAGGTCGTTACCATGGTGTTTTCCATCGCTGCTAGTCTACGTGGCATTGGCTAGTTAAGTACTACGGCGGGTTTGATAGCCACTGGTCGAGGTTGTTATGAAGTGATTAAGGGGGGCTGTGGAGGAGAGTCTGATGACCTTCCATCCACTCACTTATCAAGAATATCCTCATCTCTAACATCCAAAATCAACATATGTCCTGGGGAATGCCCAATCACTACTCCCGGAATTCTCGCCTTCGTCACGGCTTCCTGCGGCGTAACACCACATCCCCAAAATACAGGCACATAACCATCCTCCTCCTCCCCTTCCTCTTTCCTCCTCACCACAACCTTCCCTTCCCCATCAACAGGCCCATCCCCCCAATCCGGCAAATCCAAATCCCTCCCGACCCCAAGAATCCTCTCCACCCCCTCCCATCCCCACCCCACAGGTTCCCCATGCGTAACCCCAAACCTCCTCGTAACTTCCCTCACCCGCTGCACTTGACTCTCACGATACAACCGCATACTAACCACCATATTCACATCCCCGGGAGAAAAAACCCCCGAGGGGGAAAGTGGGAGAAAGGAACGATACATGGAAACATTCCTCTTGAATTTCACATGCGGAGGTACGAGTCCCATATTTTCCAATGCGGATTCAAAGGAATAGGAACATCCTATTAGGAACGCTACGTGATCTTCCTCCCGCCACAAATTCTTGATATCCGGAACTCCAGCATTTTGTAGTATCCCGTCGACGTACACATTATATCTAGGTACATCGGTGCGGATATCGAGATCCACGGCCAGATTCTCGGATGCGATTCCTGGGATACAAGAGGTGAAATTTGTAAAGTCGCCGGGGTGGGCGGAGTAGGCGAGTAAGGGACATGGAATGGGGTTTTGGGTGCAGAGATTGTGGAAGTCTGAGGCGTAAATTGAGGGGAGGATGAGGAGGTTTGCTTGGATGTGGCCTGGGGCGAGACCGCTGGTTGGTTGGGAGAGAGTGTTGGAACGGGCGAGGAGGCGGATTTCGTGGGCGGGATTTTGGGGGAGGGACATTTTCGGGGGGATTTCTTGGTTGTTCTGCGTGTTTGGAGAAAGGAAAGTTGAACTTGGAGAGATGTTATCTCACGACTCACACAACATACATATCAGCTCGCTATCTAGGAGCTTGGCCGAGATATTGGCCGAAAATGTTCAAGTTTGTGAGCGCGGGCAAGCTTTTTTGTCATTATCATGAATGGCGACGAGGTGCTGCCCTTGTGTTGGATCAATCTCGATCCAACACAAATCTCGATCCAACACAAGATTTAATCCATTTTCTTCATCATTTCGATCACAGGCTGATGATGCTGGGCTGGGGATGCCTCCTCCCTCGTGGAGATTAGATTAGAATGTCTTGGGCTCCGTGGACGGGGGAGAGGTTTTTATTTTTGTTTTCGGGGATTTGATTTTGATGATAGGAGAGTGAGTTGGAGAGGGTGAATCTTGTTTTACGGGTCTAGAAGGCCGGGATTACCTTATTCCATCCCGGGGAAGCGTGATGCATTCGCAAGTGAGAATTAGATGTGCGGATTCGGTGAGTGAGGGGGGAATCTGTGCAGGCGAGCGGGAGAGTGAGGAAGAAGATCACAGAAGAGAAGAGAAGGTAGAGAAGGTAGGTAGAGAAGGAAGGTTTGGAGGGAGAAGATGTACCAGAAGAGCATTCCTTGAGCGCCAGACAGGTCACGATTGGTGCGTTCGGGTAGAGAATGCACCGTTCCTTCCTGCCGTTTGATATCCGGTCGTACCTGCAGGGCAGCAGTTCAATATCCCATCCCATCYAATCGGGAAGGCGCGACTGTCGCATTAGCCATCCCATTCACCTCTCACTCTCCCATGACAAGACCTAGACATACGTGCATGCACGATGGATTGGGTCAAGATGAGATGCAATTCGGTTGTGCAGACTCTTATTCTCATTGTATTTTGATCATCAGTCCTCAGCCGTCTTGTCCATGCCATCTCTGAACACACTCGCAACCCGACCGATGAAAGACGCCATTCCCATTCCCAGATTCCCCGCTATTTTCCTCCCATGTTTCGCCCTTGCATCCATGGCAGTCGAAGAAGGAGAAGGGGAAGAAGAAGAAGGAATTCGCATGCCGTTTCGCTTTCAAGTCACAAGGTTGGAGAGGTCCATTTGCCCATTTCGCCGTGAGGATTTACTTTTCGTCCGGAAGTCCATATTTATGCGACGACCTGTGGTGTATTAGCCCGAATTATTCCATTTCCCTCCACATCAGGATGAGTATACCTTGACGGCGAAGTTGCGCTGGGGGAAATGTCTCTGCTTCTTCTTTTGCTTCTCAGTGACGCGAGCGGCATCCTCGGGGCTTAATCGGCGACGGATGGCGCGGGTCTGCTTGGGGCGGAGGTCGRGAGGCATGTACTTCTTGCCGGAGTAGAAGAGGCGGAGCTGCGAGCGCTGGTTCGCGTTGATGATGGTCAAGACGCGGGCAATCGACTTGCGCACATCGTGGCTGAAGAAATGTCCTGTTAGCCTGCCGTCTGCGTGTGTTGTTGTCCATTTCCATTTCCGCCATGTCCCACATCCGCGCGTGTCCCATTTCCATCCTCCCTCATATCCCCACCTTTCAATCCACATACATTTTGTTCAGCTTGGAGCCGGCGCCACCAGCAATCTTCTGGGTGCGGAGCTGGACGAGCTCCTGCTTGAGCTCATCGAGTTGCTTCTGCAACTCGTCCTTGTTCTTGCCCCAGAGCGCTTGAGCCTTGACCTTTCCGGAAGACTGGCATTGAATTAGTGGGAGGCACGCGCAAACAATACCTCATGGGGTATGTTGGGAATAATCTCACCATTGTGCTGGACTGGACTGTGTGGGTTAGTTGAGTCGGTGGGGGGATGAGGGAGCGTCGTCGTCGTGGATGTGAGGTGTCGGCAAATTGTGTGTCGAGTGCGGAAAGAGCCAAGACTGCGGATCCACCGTGGTTTGGCCGGTGATTGGTGGATGCTCATGCAGGGATGCCTCAGTCGTCGGTCAACAATGATGCGATGCCGACATCTCCTTGGGTTGTGCTGTGTTGCGTGCGCATGTGATTTCATTGATGTTGTCCTCCAACATGGCCAGCACATCCAGCTGGGCGCAACAGCGAACTGAAGCTCGAGCGGCCGAAAGTAAAGTAAATTCCCCCTCGCTGTCCTCTATCCATACATCCAACTAACATTGACCTCTCCTCTCCCGACCGAATCGCTCTTCCACACCTACGCCCAATATGCCTCGCAAACCAACCTGGAGGCCCAACCTTCCCCCGAAGAACTGCGCATTGAATCGCAACTCAACGACATGCTCGAATCAGTACGTACTCTCCCCTCCACCTCCATCAAATCCATCCCCCCAATCTAATCAAATGCATGAAAACAGAGAACAAACCTCCTCTCCGCCCTGGCACGAACCCTCGACAGCGAAACCACACCCTCAGCCCTAAAATCCACCAACCTCGCCCGCCACCGCGAAATCCTCTCCCAACACCGCGCCGAACTCCTCCGTCTAAAATCCCAAATCTCCCAAGCCCGCAACCGCGCCAACCTCCTCTCCACCGTCCGCTCCGACATCTCCGCCCACCGCTCCTCGGAAGCCGAATACATGCTCGACGAGCGAGCCCGACTGCAGAATTCCCACTCCATGGCCGATGGGGTTTTGAGTCAGGCGTATGCCGTGCAGGAGAATTTCGCTGTGCAGAGGGAGACGTTGGTGGGGATTCAGAGGAGGATTACGGGCGCTGCGGCCAGGGTTCCGGGGATTAATGGGTTGATGCAGAGGATTGGGAGTAAGAGGCGGAGGGATGGGATTATTTTGGGTTCGTTTATTGCTTTTTGCTTTTTGGTTCTTTGGTGGTTTTGGTGAGGTGGGTTGATGGAAGGGATGATTGTATTTTTTTTCTTTGGCAGCGAGGCGTTGGGGTGTTTTATTATCAGCATCTTCATCATCATCTTTGTGKGGCTTTGGGATGGTGCATGAGCTGCTTCTTGGCCAGGACGGTCAACAAGGTCCACAGACCAGACAGAAGAGGAAATCAAAGGACAGTTCTCAGGAAAGCTTCAGTGGCCCGCTCACATCGATACCTGCCTCCAATGCGTGCTTACTCCACGACGCTTTCCCCCTTCGCTTGATCCATGCAAGGGGAAGCACTCTCAATGAATAGATATCACTTCARGAGAAAGAGGGCAAGATGCACAATTTATCCATTGCTTCAAATGGATTGGTAGAATCAAGAAGAAATCCCAGCGAAGTTCTAGATCATATTGCATTGCTGGGTCGATGTTCGGATGACATGGTCTGTCCATCTATCTATGCATCGACTCAATAAGCAGCTAGCTGTCTTTCGTGTGTTTATTTATCGTGGGGCGAGAGAAGGCTACGGTGTAGTCTAGAGTAAGGTGCCGCAATCTACCTCTAATATCTCGTTATACTTACCTATATCCCCTTTAGATCCTAAAGCTTATCCTATCTATTACTACCTAAAAGGCTCTCGCCCTTACTTCCTTTATTATACGATTAATATTTAACTTAGAAAACTCCCGCGTCCTCCTACTCTACGCCTATCTAGCAATCTAGAAGACTTTTTAATAATATACTTATAGGCGAAGCTACTTTATAGCTTAGGGACTACTATAAGACTTAGTAATATGTTATTTTCCGCTATAATTCTTAAAATTTATCTACGAGAGAGTAGTTATAGAAGCACTAGATAAGAAAGTATAATAAAGTTAAAAGTACACGCTAATAACGTAAGCTAGTAAATAAATTAGAGTAAGTAGAGCTATCGATATAAGGATTATTCGCTAGAACAAATTATCCTTATTTATTCCCGCTATAGACCTAATGTATTACTCTCTATAGAATCGACGATTTTCGGCCTACTAGATTCCTAACTACTAGTAGAGTAGCCTATTAATTAAGCGAGGGAGTAGTTAAGGGCGCTAATCTTACCGATACTTCCTTATATCGATAGCTCTAGAAGTAAGGGCGTGTAAAATTAAAGGTTACCGCCCTACCTAAAAAGGTAATAGTTATTAGAAAGTGCAGTTATAGAATAGCTGTATATCTAATATAATAGAGAGCTAAGTAGCTATAAGGTTATATAACTCTATATAGGGTAAAATCTCTTCTTAAGAGATAGAGACATATCTCTAGATAATTAACTTAATTAACATATTAGTTCCTACTTTTAAGTACTGCCTATCGGAGATAGTAAGCTAGTTAAAGATTAAGATACTCTTATACTTTACCCCTAAAATTCTACGAACCTCCGACTAATATTTAATAGGTTATAAGCCCGGGTTTACCGAAGGAAAAAGACCTTAACCTTAAAGTAGTAAAGGTTTCTCCTACCTTATAAAGCTAATATAGAAAGGATACTAGTTTCTAGTACCCTATCTTATACTAC